TTGGGGGGGGGGGGGGGGGGGGGGGGGGAGCACTTTATTACTAAACGAAAACAAACAAAGGCTCATTAAGCTCACTATAATAAGCTGTTTCTAGACGCTGGAACATTCACTTGGCTACATTCGGACGATACAGTGAATGTTGTGGAAGATGACACGGCAAAGCTCAACTGGAKKGTTCGYATTGATTTTGGTAGACYATGGTTTGCAGTAAAGATCTCAAGGAGCGCTACATCTCATGCTGGTGCAGGAAGCCTTGACCTCATAAGAAGATGGTATCCCTCTGGTATAAAGTTACTGTTGGCCGACCGACTTGCTGACATGGACTTAGATGTTGAAGCGAACATAAATGTCTTGAATGTTACTTTTACGCTTCGTAATCTATCAAGGAAAACTGACGAGATGTATTATAGAATAACTGTGTACGACGGTTACTTCAACTGTTCTTGGAGAACCACAAAGCTGAACATTTATGGTAAGTAAAACATGRTCTGGAGGTCTGAAGCTTAGATCTTACAAATTAAATAAATAAACCGCGTGGTTTTATGTTTATGCACATTGTGTTTGTCTGAATATATGCTTCATTCTATATTAGGGCATTTGTCTTGTTTGATAGTTTATTCCGCAATGTGCTATTATAATTTTACTTCAAGGTAAGAATGTGATGTATCATTAGTTTAATCAAGTATTACAGAAGAAAATTGTTTTATTTATTTACGATTTAGAAATACCATCGACTGACATGTTAGTTGACTTAAATGAATTAGTATATGAATAGAAGTTAAAGGTCACATAGTCTCAAGGCTATATTGTCCATATTGTTGCATTGATTGACTATTGAGATCAGAACTTGCTTTTCGATAATGAAAGCTTTGATTTTTTGTTCGTCGTTATTCCCTGGATTATCAAATTGCTTTTGGGCATTTTAACTGAACTTCCGCTTATAAAATGATGAACATAGATGTAGAAGCATGAATTCACGCGTGATCTTGGATTCAAAAGGTTTTCAGCAAAACTCAGGAAAAATTCATAACCAATTACAGGTCACGAGTAACGCCCTTCATCAGAAATCTGGATTGACAGTGTCAGTTTTTGGTTTTCTACACGCATATGTACTGTCACTGTTATAATGTTAACGTTGTACTATGATCCCTGGCAGAGCCACAACGCTCCGAAGTCGGTTACATGTGCATATAAGTACAATAGGACTGTGCGTATCGTGATATCACAGTGTGTCCCAATTCCTATATGTTTCTATAGATAAGGAATGATGGGAATAATCTGTTAGCTTATCTTACTTTTTCAGCACTCGAAATACCTTTTCTTACTTCTTTTCAGTTCATTCATCGTGTAAGATACATCCTAATAAAAATGTAGTAGCTGAAGGAACAAACGTCTCGCTAAACGTTACCACCACAGGAAACCCACCTGTTTATGAGTACATCTGGACTTATCCTAATGGAAGTAAACTGACCGCCAATAGCACACTGACATTTACTGCCTCAAGACAAGATACTGGGACATACAAGGTTTCTGTGTATAATGGTGTTGGTGATCGGGGTAATTGCACAATTGACGTAAATGTATATTGTAAGTAATAATGCATTTATTATCTGTAGTTAGATTATATCATCTTTGAATCATCTAAGATCATCTTATTATATCATCTTATTTACCGTTTGTAAATAAATAGTGGGCCTTAATACTCAACGTTAGCAGTATACCAGCGTTTCAACATTTTAGCCCCTCTTTTCATAAGTGTATCATTGTTGTTTCAAAGTATATAAAGTGCTTGGGAACCACAATGTGTATCATTATATCTGTTTGTCATCGTATTAACGGTAGTGGTTTAGCATTCATTCATATGTACATTATCCATTACCTTATAGCATGTGCTGAATTCTATAATTCTTAATTTAAAGGGATCCTAGTTTTGTTAGTTGGGAGGATACTAAATTATGGTGGGGATA